TGTGCCCCTCCCTTTTATTCTCGCTAGTGTGGGTCGATACAATTCCCGCACCCTACTCACGGCCAATCCCATTTCTAGGTACCACTACACTTCCTCTCAGTCTAAATCAGCCCTCAGTGAAACTGCAGCGGACAGGACTGGGGTAAGATCATGTTCATTTTTACCAAATATACTGAAAGTTGCAGAATGCTAGAACGTATTATTATTATTACAATATCTTGCGATCGCACCACCTTAGTTCTGCAAGTGACGTTTGGTGAGCTTACAAACATGCACGTTCTCAACCTATTTGCTAACACTTAATATCTGTAAATAGTTTGTCACATCAAATGCAAGGCAAGGTAGAGAGCACAGCAAAGCCTTCTTAATGTGACTAATTCTGAAATTTATGAAGTTTACTTCCCATAATCATTTAGCGTTATTCCCTTACCATGTCGTATCTGGAATCTTGTTTGTGTTTCGGGCCGGGCAAATTAAGGGGTGACCCGTAGGTACAAAAGCGTCCTTGTTTCCTTAAATAATTTTTATTTTCTTCAGTAATCTTTTTCAGACTCCGGTTAGTGTAGATGGTTTAGCAGTGGATAATGCTGCTGACCCTGTTTTAGAAGCAAAATACAGAGACAAGCTCTTTACGCAGGTATGAAGCTTTCTTGATATGGACAAATGAGTGAATGAAAAGTGTCAGCAGTTCCTTGGTTTTCCTCGACATTTTCCTGACATTTTACGTTTAAATTTGACTCTGACGATCCACCTCCAACTAGATTTTGAAAACCCCCTAATTATCATGCGTGTTAATGCGTATTCGACATTACGAAACCTGGTTGGAAGAACGAACAGAGTTTGTGCATGACAGTCCAAATACTTAAGCAGTAGTAAAATGGACCGTGTGACTAGGATGATCAATCATGTCTTCAAAAGCGACCGTATACTTATGCTGAAAAGTTTGATTTGATTTATGACAGGGTCAGTTTAAAAAATGTTGTTAGAAATGTGCATTAAAATATTTCTATTTGTTGTTTGTTTAGGCTTATGCCCTTGTAGTGGATACATTTGACAGAATGGACATTGTTTTTCATGACATTAAAACTGCGGAGTTGAAGTTAGCAGAGTAGAGCGTTTGCTGCCCAATTACTTAGAACCAACTGTATTTATATCAAGTCTTGTTACAGCAAAATTAAATATGGTGTTGTTTACTCATTGAAATGTCTTCTTTTATGTGTTACAAATGAGCTTATCATGCTCAGATTCCTTCTTGGTTAGTCTCTGGCAGCTACCCCTAACGTCCGAAATGAAACCACTTGAAGCAAAGAAGCTACTCCACGCTGAGCAACTAGACCAAATGGAAAAGCTGGTTTTCACATGACGTCACTAAAATTCGAACTACAAAACTATTGATCCTCCTGGGATTTTACTTAAATGATGTATAAGAGCAGCTGAAAACTAGCATTCATACAAATTTTCGCTCCGAATGGGTTCTTGGTTTTTTGATACACTACGCTTGAATTTCTAAGCTTTTGCGTGACGCGGCATTTACATGATGGCCCAGAGAGCTGTCATGATGGTTAAAAAGGTGACTTATTTCGGGGAACTTGGCTATCTGAACAGTTCATGTCTTAGAAAAAGTATTATTTTAATGTNCCATACGGATGGGCACCAGCATGGCGTCTCCATACAAATCTCTATAAATTTGGGTAAAAAATTTCTCCGCATATCTCGCGTAAGAAAAATTGCTGTGGCCAGAATTTTGGTGAGAGTCTTTTTTTATCTTTTTTGAATTGCGTGACACTGATAACCAGCAATAGAGAGGGGTTCGGGGGAACAGAGATGACACAGTGGTGAGAGTGCTTGCCTCCCAGGACCCACTAATGTAGCGTAAGGTTCGAATCCCGGATCATGGCCCGTTTCTCGAAAGCCCCGGAAACTTTTCGGGTCCGAAAAGCTATTTTTAGTTAATCTGTTTCTACAAACAGAGAGCTGAATACGCCTTAAACTTCTTGTATGAAGGGAACCCTGTTAATCTTAAGGATACGTGAATAAAACAGCGCTGTAATCATAAGGTTTAGGACTTTGGTCTGGCTTCCCGAATGCGAACTCCTGAAAACTTTTCAGGACCTTCTAGAAACGGGCCCCATCTGTTATTAGGGGGTTGAATTTATTTTTGGTTCTCGTCCTTGCACGCAGGGTTTTTGCTCGGATTCTCCGGTTTTCCTTCCTCTACAAAACCCATACCCGATATTTATATACTTGTTCGAACACTTTATAACGGGTTACTCAGAGCTCTCCTATGTTTCGTGCGTAAACAAATTAATGATAATAATAATCGTATTTATATAGCGCACATATCCTAAGTTCATGGCGATTTACAAACTTTATTTTACACTTACCGTACCAATCCTCGAATGAGCGCCCCCTTCGAATAAGCGCCCCTCCTATCGGCCAAAAAAGCGCCCCCTCCCCTCCCCCCATTTTGTGGACGAGTAATGAGACAACAAAGGATGTATAGAATCTTAAAAGTTGTTGTCACTGACTTAAAAATCTTAAAATAGCCGTTTCGGCAAAAATACTATAACCTTCTTCAGTGATGAAATGAATGCTAATGGCGTCTAAATGTAAATGAGATGTTTATAAGAATGTGAGGAACTCGCTAGGAATTAATTTAGCATTTTGTAAATGTCTGGAATATGCGCGTGGTCATTAATTGAGTTCAGTTCGCGAATGGAATGCCACACTTCCAAGAACAATCTACGCGACCACAAGGGACAGCGGTCTATGACCTTGACATTATTAAAATCAAATTC